CTGAACAACGTCAAACCAGACTTCAAGCACAAAAATTAAGACAAATAACTTACAGAGAGCAAGAAACAGTGGAACAACATGGTGTATGACTTCAGGCTCAAAGAACAAGACAAGCTCAAACACGATCTAATTTCAAATAAAGCTTTGTTTGGTTAAATGTTTTTTATTTCTCGCATCACAGCTTTTGTTTACTTACTCAATAATTTGCTGAAAAAAATACTGATCTACACATTTCAAATCTAAATTTTCACAATGCAATGCTGGGTAACTCGGCTAGTAACTGATAAATTATAAAGTTTTATTTTAAAATATTTTGATATTCATTTAGAAGGACTTAGAGGTTATGCAAATGAAATTTGTAAATTGTAAGAGGAAAAACATATTATAAATCTTAACATTAAAATCACCTAGCATTCAGACTAGTCAGAGTCTCTGTCAGACTATGATTTAATAAATTCACAGATAAATATTTCATAAAAATACTTAATTAAAAAGTCTGATTGTTAAGTTTACTAAAAGTTTGCCAAATTATGTGAAGATACACTTACTGCATTAAAAAATTATGGTGGGCATAGTTTCATGGCTGTGTGGGGGTTAAAAAAACTGAGCCCATATAGGGTGAGTTATAAAAATTCTGTTAGCAGTAAAATATGATCAGCACAAACCAAGCAGTTTCTCTGACTAACAGTTTATGGAGCCAGAACCAATCAAAGACTAACATTGGGGAGAATTTGCTCTTTTGTTTGTTAAAAGCATGTCCATCAGCCACGTTAAGTTGATTAGCAAACAATCTTGAAAATCGGAAAGAGAAGAAAGAGGTTTCTCTGGTGGGTTTGACAGGTTTATTGACAGGCCTGCTAACTCTTATGATTTAGGCATAATTGTTCCAGTTGGTTTTTTTTTTTTTCATTTAGGCTGTACTAATTGTTGTGTTATTTTATGATTTTATGCAAAATTCCGGAAATAATTCACCGCTCTCTGCCTCAATCTTGAAATAGCCTATTAAAAAAGCATGTGAGTAGTAAGTGTCTATGGTGTGCTAATAATTTCTTGAGAGGAAGATGGCAGAAAAATGTGGTTCTGCTTCATCCTCAATAACTCCAACAAAGAAAAGTTTATAGTGAGCAGGAGTTTACACATGAGTATTCAAAAAAGTTCAATGATATTGTATCATCCTCGAAGGGTATGAATTATGTAAGATATACAATTTGTGTTTGTGATTTATAAATTCCTCATGGAGGTGAAAATGACAGGAAAAATATCTCAACATTACTAACCACCAGCAAAATGGTTTGAGAGCATCTGGAATGAATAAATTAGACTAATTTTTCGTAAAACCCAATACCAAATCAGAATCAGTGCTGATAAGGAATATGAAGATGGCACAAAAAAACTGTTTCTTCCAAGAATTTATAGATGATTTCCTAAAGAGAGCCAAGATATTAAATAAAGCATAATTAGTAGTGGCACCATTTCCATTTTTGGCTATTTTTTCCCTTGTCCCAATAAAAATTTAATGCTGGTAGATTTGTATCGATATCTCAGCAAATCAGGAAGATAGGAGATTCCCAATTTAGAATATTTCCTGGAATTAGACATAATTTGGTTGAAACTGTAGAAACCTATTTTTGTTTTTAAGTTCTGAAGTGGAGAAATTGGAAAATCACCTGACACAGAAGAATGAAGATTGAGCATTTCTTAAATATTTATTTTTGAAATTAAGAAGTTGAAACTTAAATATTAGAAAAATATAATTATAAACTACATTTTCATGCCAAGTTTATTGATAATGAAGTTATTTAATTATATTATGAATGTAACCCTGTAAAAGGTTACATATACAAAAGAGCCACACCTGGAAGTGAAAGGATAATGAAATTGATCCCTGACATAGGTAATCTAGGATTGTTGGGTTTTGCATTAAGACTTTGGATTTGAAAGTGTGGTGTAGACACAATCTTCTAGTCTCTTGTCTTATATAAACATGGTCTTCTCTTCTTTAACTTCAACAACCATTACAGTTTCAGAATGATGCTGTGACTTAAAAGTGTTGTATGGGCAAGTAATATAACCTAATATTGTGTACGACATGATCTTTCTCACCTTCAACAGACATCAGCATCTGAAAGAAATTGGTTAGCACAAATTTTGTTTTTATAATAAAGAAAGCCTTTTTTTTTCCCCATTTGTACCTAAGTCCATTGATCACCCCTATTCTATTTATTTTATTGCAAGTAAGTCTTTCCAGACCACTCGTATTGCAGACTTAACTCTTGGGTCCAGTTTTTATTTGAGAATACCATAGACGTATTTCATGGAATAGTATGTAACATGAACCTTATTTTTGTTAGTTTTGTGTCTGCTTTATCTGCAGAGAAAATATTACATTCAATCTTGTGCAGAGTAGTATATAATATGGTCTTACTATTGTTATATGGAACTTGATTGTGCTAGCTTTATTTGCAAAGAAGTATTACACTAACAACTGTGTAGAGTAGTGAGGATAAAGACCTTACTGTTGTAATAAGCAGTGTATTGCATAACTGTTTCATTCCAAAAGATCATGGAGTGTTTGGTGAAAATTAGTTGTTTTGTGTGTTACAGGCTTACATGGATGGAGGGTTCAGTGACAACCTGCCTATTTTGGATGAGAACACCATTACTGTGTCTCCTTTTAGTGGGGAGAGTGATATCTGTCCTCAGGACAGCAGCTTCAGCATAATGCAGATAAGCCTAGCAAACACAAAGATTGCTGTAAGTACTATGTTCCTTATTTAATTCTAAAAAACTGATCCATTTCCAAACAATGCATTGTTTTGTTAGCTAACTTTTTATTTCCTTGACATAATAAATATGCAGGTTGAAATAAAGTTAGGTGAATTGATATATATTTCATAATTTGGTAATAGGAATGAAAAAAACATGGTGGTCTTTGCTAAAATGTAATTTTTACAATTCATAGCCAGAATCTATAGATGCTTAAGTTGTCGTATTTTTAACTTTTAGACATTGTCACTTTCTGATAATCATTGTTTCCAGTTAAATATTTACATGCATTTGTTTTTCTCTTCTAAGTCTTGCTTATTTCTATAGGCATGGTTAGAGATTCTTGTAATAATTTGTCATTTTCTTCTCACTCTCTCTGAGTTTTGAGTCTTAAACTCAGCATTTAAAGTTCAACTTATCTCACCTAATTCTTTAGAACATGTTAATAAGAGTCACCTAATGGTGTGTGTGTTATAATATTTTCTTTAAATATATGCTCATAAGTAAATGGTGAAAAACTTAATTACATATCAAATTACACAAACCATATGCATATTTTGGCTTTTAAACAAGTTACTAGCTGATCCTCTAGGGAACTTATAGAAGCCCAGCCTTTAAAACCTATACTTTCTCCAAATAGCCAAATGTCAAAAGTATATTTTGACATGCTGAACCTTTATATTATAAAATGGAAGTGGTATGTGCTGCACAAAATTTAAATTCTGAGAGCAGGACATACAAATATTTTTTTAATTTTTCTTTACCTATTTATAGTTTGGTAGAGTTATATGTTTTTATTTTAATGTCATACTATTAAATTAGGTACATGTCATTTGAAGTATTTTAATGGTATTGTTCAACAATCTCTGGACATGACTTGATTGCCTTGTCACCCAACAAAAGGAAATAAAAATGTATTTTAGGTATGATGGCATGGAAAACAATCTGTCATAAGTAATTCCAAAAATCTTTAAGATGAAAGAGAGTTCAGGAAACAGTTCAGAGCAGTTACTCAGAGTTTTCCTATATTTATAATAAAATTGCTTTAAATAAGTAACAATACAATACATGACACTGAAATAAAAACATGTATCATACATCTGCCAAACTACAAATAGGTATACATCTTGCTGACTTGTTCGGTTATTAATAATATGAAATGTGACAGAACATCAATGAAAATAATCTGTAGTCCAAAATATAATTACCTCCTCTCACACGCATAGCTATTACTCGACTGTCTGGGTTTATTCCTTTGCCCATCTAAGCTTTGGTCTGATTTTTTCTCAGTTGCTTCAGTCTTTTATACCTCACTCAACTGCCCTTGGCAATATTTATCTTGTGACCCTCTCCACCTACATCAGTGTGCCCTCTATCCTGGTACTGTATATGTGCACCTCATTATTATTTTTGGCACGGAGGCCAATCAGGTCTCTCCTATCCTACACTGGTATCTAGTGTTGCACAACAATTGGGGGTCCTCCGAGGGGCTCTGAAGCTGTGTCTGAGGCCAGTCCTTAATATTCTGGAGAGAATTTAGATTCACTTTGGGATAAGTTGCCTGTGATTTGTTTTCTTCTGTTGGTTCTTTGAGAGTGTGATGTTTTGGGCCTTTTCCCTGTTGCTTTTGAGCCTGCACCTTACTTGATGGCTCAAAGGTCTAGAAGCAAAGTTTTAGTTTTCTCTCCAATCACAGTTATTGTAGTTCATGCAGGGAGGTTTATTTATCAGTTACATGAAGGGACAGTTATGCCTTATTTGACAAGGTTGTCGAAACTTTGTGATTTAGCCTACTAACACCAGGTGGAAACATATTCTTACTCTCAAATAATACATATGCTTCATGAATTTCCTGGTTCTATGGAAGAGTTTGTAGTTCACCTGTATACATTAACTCTCCCAAGACGGGGTTGGTCAATTTGACCGAGTCACATGACCTTTTGTACTTGTTTAAAGTTGATATAAGTTTAATATTTATAACTCTCTATATATTGGGTATATCTTCACAAAATTTAGCAGTCTTTCAGTTAATATTACATGTCTTTCACACACAAAAAGTCATATTCCTTAGTGAAGTATTTTTTGATAAAATAAAATAAAGTTTTAGTCCAT